AGCACAGCTCCTCGGCGATCGCTTGAATTGCTGAGCCTGAGACGGGTGTTGTAGATCAATCTGAGGCTTGGCAAGCGTGTGACCAAACTCCTGGGCAACAGATCCGTCCTGGAAGATTTTTTGCGTCTGGCACACCCAACTGGTCTCCATCGTGCTGGAGTGACTGACTGCCTGAGGCCAGACTTGCAGTCTGAAACCAAAGCAGTTGGGCAGCAGGTCCATCAGGATTATACTCTTAACTGGAATAGATGTTTCAGAGATGGGAGGTCGGCAATGTGTTCTGAAAGAATAATCGATCCATACAGTATGATCATTTTTTTTGCCAGATGTCTCTCATACGTTATGATCATTTTCAGGTATTGTGATGGGTAATTGAACTGGGCTAGGAGGAGATTCAATATATCTAGGAGGAGGGATTGCTATATATAGAAACACTGTGTGAAATATGGAATAATCCACCATGATGTATGACCAAAATACTGATGCACTATCTATTTACTCAGGAATGTGAGTATCATCATTAGATACATATAAGTGTCAATATTTTCCTCATTGTATGATCTAAGTGCGCGTTATTTACGAAGCTTCGTTAAGGTGGGGACAAAATATATCCCTATAAAAGGCTACGGGCTTGACCCCTATTTTCGCTCTGCGGCCGCCCCATCGGATGCCCCGCCTCCTCTTCCGGTCCATTTGGCTGCTTGTGAGGGCCTTGCAGGGGGATCCTGAAAATTCCGGGAATTTTAACACTTTTTGTCTAAAAATCCTGGGAATTTTGGGAATTCCCCGGAGCTGAAAATTCCCGGAATTTTAGGAATTGTCCGGATTGAGGTTTGGGCTTGCCGGGTTGGATTTTAAGGTTCCCACGCAACAGAGAAGGTCTGCAAGAGAGCTCTTGCTACAGGGAAGTTGAGCTGACGGTCGCTGCCCGCCAGCTGCTCAAGCTGCTCAAAAAGGTTCAGCTGCAGGCACCATGCTGTAGCTCTTCGCCAGCGGCTGTGTGCTGTGGGCCTTCCGCCCAAGTTGTCGCTGACGCTACATGTTGCTCGAGTTAGTCGCGACAAAGCTGCCATGCTTGCAGGTCTTCATGTCATCCTTCCGAGTCTGGGATGCCTGGCAGGTCGTGGTGCCCAGACCTCATTCCATCCGTTCTGCATAATGGCAGTAGGCATACCGGGAGCAAGGATGCCCTAAACCCCACACTAACCCAGCGAGAGCTTGCTGTTAGCTGCTTCTGCTACAGTGGCAGTAGGCATACCGGGAGCAAGGATGGAGAGAGAGAGAGAGGGAGAGCGCAAGAGGCGAGAGGGAGAGAACAAGAGAGCGAGTGAGAGATGAGAAAGCGAGAGAGGGAAAGGGAAAGCAAGAGATGTCCATTGTGGTGTCACTCCGCACCCACTTGGCTTGCCCCGAGGCTTTCCACACGCAAGCGCCATGTGCTCCGGCGGTACTGAGCAGGCCCGGCTGCTGTGCTCACTGCTGTAGCGCCGTGGACACGCACAGACCCTAATCCCTAAACCCTAACCCAGGGAGAGCTTGCTGTTAGCTGCCTTGCTTGTCCGCCTCTGACAACGTTGCAGCGCGTGTCTCCGCAGCACCATCGGCCGTGAGCCCCGACCCACCACACTCAACCCTGCCCGACCTGAAGGGACTTGACGCACCAGCATATGTCTCATGGAGATACTCCTACAAAACACGTGTTTGTGACTTTGTAAGCAGGGTTCCATGGGCCGCCGTGCGCATGCGGCAGTGCTGCTCTCTGCTTGCAGCGCTGCAACCTGTTGATCCGGCAGTTGCTCCTCATGGTGTGTCGGGCGCGGGCCATCGGGATGCGCTGGGCTTGAAGGGCATCGAGATGAAGAAGCGTCCTGCAGCCAGTGCTGCGGCTGGCGAGCAGAAAAAGAAACAGGGATATCACACACCGTATGAGCAGATGTGCCAGATAATCAGCAGTGGTGGCAACGCCCTTCAGCTTCGTCGCCTTCATCCTCTGCAGGAGTTCACCATGCCCACTTTGCAGAGGTTGTGCACTTGCCGCGCATCGCGCATACGTTCTTTTTTCGTTGGCTCCGAGCACGCCATCGACGACCTGTACTTATGCTTGGCCCACTATGTCTTTGCCCGGGAGGCCATCCGCCGCGGAGCCGACGTCTCTGTGCTACAGGATGCTTTCCGGTCGCGCATTTATGCTCGCGCTTGGTCTTTTCCGCAGATGTTGGCGGCTGTGCAGACGCTCCGCCTGTGTAATGTGCGAAGTGCGCATGACCGTGGCTCCGCACGCATGCGCTGCTGTGCCGCAGGCTTCTTGGCGCTATTGGCCAAGGAGGGACATCTTCCCCAGATGTCGATGCCTGCCGTCGTCGTGGCCGCGATGTTTGGGATGGTGACGGGTGGTTTGGGCATGTGCCGTATGGTCCACTCCGAACTCGCCTCCGTGGATTTGACATCGCTCCCTGCCTGGGTTGCGTCGCTCTGGCGTGCGCATAACATACCCTTTGCTTTTGGTGTGACGGCTGGCCGTCCACGACATGAGGAGCGCCTTTTCGAGGCGGACGCTTTGGCTGCAGAAGTGGATGCTCCCGCTGAGGACGCTGAGGCTGCTCAAGATGATCTGCTTCTTGAAGAGGACGTGCCCTTGCCCGCTCAGGTCGACCGCCGACGCTCTGCGGAAGCCTTGCGTAAGCAGACGCGCGCTGCCTGCGAGAGCCTCGGGCTTCGTTTGCTTCGAGCCGCCAGAGCAGCCGGCGAGCCTTGGCAGGGGGCGAACCATGCAGGGTTCCGCCCGTATAAGCTCCTTGGCTACAAGCAGGCCGAGACGATATGGTCGGATTTCATGCGGAAGAATGGGGGTAGTTGCACAGGAGGCATACTTTTCCGGGCCAGTGCGTGCTTGCCGCCAGCTGGCCTCGCCGCGCGCGTGTTGACAGACCGATGCCGTGAACTTTCAGAGCCTTGGTGTCCAGCACATCTGTTCATGTCCCGTTGGGCGCCCGTCCCTCTGGTGCCACGCGTGGGCGGCACGAGTCGTGCTGTGGCTCTCCTGCACGGCCGCTCCATGCTGCTAGGAACGGAGGAGGTTCCCTGCCAGCACCCTCCGCAGCTTCTGCATGCAGTGCAGGCCAAGCTTCTCGCTGCACTGCGCCGCGAAGCGAAATTTCTGCCGGCGGCCGTGCAGGACTGGGCGCAGCTCGACCTTACACACCTGGACGTCAGCAATTTGTTGTGCTGCTGGAGCAAAGTCATCGACTTCGTTCTTGGTCTGGATACGCACGCCCACTACCTGGACCTCTGAAGCCTACGGCCGTGATGCTACGCCCAAGGTCGCAGTTGTGTCTTTACTTCAGACTCTGCTCTGACCTACGTCTCTTCCGGTCCTTCAGCAGAGCTCGCATCAGCTTCGGCTAAGTTGTGCGGGCGCTGAGATCCGCGCATCCGGCGTGACTGTGGAGGTGCTTACGGTTTAGTGTTCGGGGCTTCAGCCTTCGGGTTTTGGATATGGGCCGGACTACCTTTCTTGTGTGCTGCGGACAAAACATCGGCTCGGCTCAACACATTGCGCTTCAGCTGCGTGCTTTCCTGGTATTGTTCCCGCCCCGCGCCCGAGATAAACCCTACGTTCTCAACCCTCGAGACCCCAAACCCCGACACCTGGACCCTAAAGCCCTCAACCTTCAACCCCAAATGCTCACCCCTCGGAACCCCAAACCCCGAACCCTGGACCCTAACACCCTCAACGCTGACTCAGCCGCGGCACTTCTGTCCTTCGAGCCACTTATTCGTCGGGACTGTGCTTGCATTGATGAGGTCGAAGGAATCTATTGCGACTGCTTTGCGTTCATAGGCTTGGCACCGAGCCCGGGCATGGACTGTGTGCATTAGCTGCGTGAGACCCGACCCTGGACCCTGCACCCTGAGCCCTCTGCCCGAAGCCCTAAACCCTGCACCCTCAGCCCTAAGAGACAACTAGCGAGTGCTGCAGTCAAAGAACACCTGCCGTTCTTGGTTTTGTTGTTCCTGTTGCAGGTAAAGAAACTCCGGGTGAGTCATGGCATCGACTGCGGCTACTTTGCGTTCATTGGCTTGGCACGGCGCCTGGACTTGAGTTGGGAATGATTGCGTCTGCTGCATATGGGAGCCATCCAATGTTCTGCACATCATAGGTCAGTCCTCTCGCAACTACATCTCTGGGTCGGCGGCCTATACTTGACTTACACCTGGCGCGCAGTTGCGGCGGTGAGACTGTCACAGGAGGGATGAGGCTCGAAGTTGCTGTGCAAAATCACAGGCTGGCCCGCAGAGCAGCAATTGCATGCACAGTGCATACGAGCTGCATACAAAGTGCATACAGACTGCAGTGGAACCCTGCTGCGACCTACTCCTGTCACCTCAAAAGACACGCAGCCTTAACCCCCTGCGCTCGGGCAACCCTGAAAATTCCCAGATTTTTCGCATATCCCCGCCTGCGCTGACGCGCTGCTGCAGCCTGCCTATGCTTTGCCAGGTGCTGTTCAAGGCATCGACCTCCACACGCGAACGGCCCTTGGTGTGCGTGGCCCTCGGATGCTCCAGCGAACGTTTGTGTCCTTCGGGTTGCGGGCTTAGGGTTTAGAACGTTGGGACTAGGTTTAGGGTTTCGGGTTGCGGGTTTACGGTTTAGGGCCTAGGGTTTAGGGTTTGGGGCTTGAGATTTAGGATTTAGGGTCTACGGCGCCCAGTGCCTTCTCGGCCGTGACGGTTGCGGTGTTTACGGTTAGACTTCACGGCTGAGGGCTTGGGGTCTAAGGTGGATGGAATCTACTGCGGCTGCTTTGCGTTGCTTGGCTTGGCGCCGAGCCTGGACTTCAGTTGGCAGTGTCTACATTTGCTGCGTGCTGGGAATCCCTCTACTCGGTTCACAACTGCATCTCTAGGTCGGCGGCCTGCTCAACTTGCACTTGGCGCTGGAGAAACTTTTGTGCAGCCTACAGCGTGCGCCTTAGAGGGCATGCTGTCACGGGGGG